TTTTACCAGTTCAATGAAGAATAGAAACTTTATCTCATTTTATGTTCCTTTATTCTCTCCCACTTATAATTGTCTTAAATATTTCCCTTATATTCAATTAGAACCACTAATATAGTATTATAATATTGTTTGAATTATTAAACATTGTTTTAGAAAAATTAAGAAGAGAAAGACTATTATATTTACCCATATTTTTTCCTACTGTACTATCTCTTCCTGCTGTTCTAAAGTTTCTCATTTTATTATTTCCTTTCTGTTTAGAAAATTTCCTTTTGTCATTCTTTTAGGATAGTTCTACTGGTGACAAATCCTCATACTTTTCCTTCATCAGAGAATGTCTTCATTTTTTCTTCATTTCTGAAGGATATTTTTGCTGGCTGTGGGACTCTGATTTGACAGCACTTGAAAATATTGTGCCACTTTCTTCTGGCCTTTATATTTTCTGATGAGAAATACACCATAATTCAAATAGTTTTTCATTTCAGGTAAGGTGTCATTTTTATCTGCCTGCTTTTGAGACTTTAGTTTTCAGAAGTTTAATTATCATGCATCTTAGTATAGACATCTCTCAGTTTATCCTATTTGGGAATCATCCAGCTTCTTGAATTATAGGTTTATGTTTTTTGACAAATTTGGAAAGGTTTCCACCATTACTTCTTCTCATACTTTTTCAGTGTCCTGACACTGAGGTCCCAAATGTTAGATCTTTTGTTGTAGTCTGAAGATATCTAAAGCTCTCTTTCTGTCTTTCCTCCACCTCCTCTCTCTTTTAGATTGAATAATTTCCATAGTTTTGACTTCTGGTTCAGTGATTCTTTGCTCTGTCTTCCATTCCACTGTTGATCCTACTCCCTGAGCTTTTTATTCTGGTTATGGTATTTTTAGTTCCAATATTTCCATTTGGTTCTTCTTTATATCTCCTATTTCTTTGCTAAGACTTTCTATTTTTTTGTTTGTTTCAAATATGTTTATAATAGTCTGTTGGAACATTTTTATCATGATTACTTTAAAATTTGTCAGATAATTTTGACATCTCTACCTCTTCTACACTGTAAGCACAGCTATAATTTAAGCAGAATTCTTCACATATGGAAATTCCTTCTAAATATTTGTGATTTTTTTCTTCAAATTTTTAGCTGTCATATGCACCGTCAATTCGACACAATTTTTTTGCCGTTTGTTTTTATTGAGTCTTTCTAAAACATTCAATTTAGTTAATAAAGAAAAATTCATTTCTTGTTATAGTCAGATTTTATAAGTTTATGTTATATTTAAATCAAGTAGGTAATGAAAACTACAAGTAAAGCTGATATAAACAAGCTTAGGAACATACACAACTGATTTGTAGTAAGCAGACAACACAACTAGTGTTGGACAGTAGCATACCAGTTACAAGTATTTATTGTGCTTAGAGCATCAGTTTGTATGTTTTACAGAGGAAATAAAGAAATATTTTTAAATGAAGTTTAATTAGCAGAGCTTCTATATATTTGAAGATCATGATCATTTTCACTAATAATCAAATTTACTAATGAGAGTCTACATTAATAGCAGACAAAATAGACTTTAAGACAAGAAATACTAGTAGAGATAAAGAGAGAAATTTTTATAATAAGGGATATTTATATATCAGGAATATATTACTATATCAGGAAGTAACTATTAGAAATGTGTGTGCACTTGATATGTGGAATTTGAGAAACAAGGCAGAGGATCATGGAGGAAGACAGGAAAAAAATGAAACAGGACAAAACGAGAGAGGAAGATAAACCATAAGAGACTCTCAAGCTCAAGAAATAAACGGAAGGTTGCTGAAATGGAGGGGAGTGGGAGGGAAAGGGTGGCTGAGTGATGGACAATGGGAAGGGCATGTGCTATGGTGAGCGCTGTGAATTGTGTAAGATTGGGGAATCACAGACATGTACCACTGAAACAAATAATACATTATATGTTAATTTTTTAAAATATAAATAAATAAATAAATGTGAATGCCTTTAACAAGAGAGCCTTAAAATACATAAAGCAAAAACTGATGAAATTGAAAGGAGAAATAGACAATCCAACAATAATAATTGTAGATTTCAAGATCCTACTCTCAATAATTGATCAATCAGTTAGGAAGCCAGAAAAAACATGTAAGATGTGAATAACACTATCAACAAACTTGACTTAACTGACATGTACACAACATTCTACCCAAAGACTGGGAAATAAACATTCTTTTCAAGAACACATGGAACATTCTCCAGGATAAATCATATGCTAGAGCACAAAACAGGTCCATTTAACTTTAAAAAGAGTGAAATCATACAAAATATGTTCCCTGACCACAACAAAACTAAATTAGAGATCCATAAGAAAGAAACAGGAGAAATGCCAAAAATCTGTTAATTAAATAACATTCTTAGAACATAAATCAATGAAATGGAAAATAGAGAAAAATCAATAGAGCCAAATTCAGTTATTTGAAAAACTCAATGAAATTGGAAAATTCTTAACCTTACTATCTAGAAAGTGAGAGAAAATACAAATTACCAAAATCAAGAAGACATATCATTACTGATACTACAAAAATTAAGAGGATTGTAAGAGAATACATGAACAAATTTATGCCATCAAATTAGACAACTAAAATTAAGTGGGAAAATTGTAGAAGTACACAAATTACCAAAATTTACTCACAAAGAATTGAAAATCTGATAAAACTTATGATGAAAAATGAAACTGAATGAGTAATTAAACATCTTCCCACAAAGAAAAGACTAAGCCCAGACGGCTTTACTGGTGAATCAAATATTAAATATTTAAAGAAGAAATAATACCAATCCTTCACAAACTCAAAAAATAGTGGAAGGAGGGAGTACTTGCAAATCATTCTATGATGCTAGATTTAGTGAGAAATCAAAGCCAAACACAGATGTCACAGAAAAAAGAAAAGAAAACCAACATCCCTCATGAAAACAGATGCAAGAATTCTTAACAAAATACTAGCAAACCAAATTCAGCAACACATAAAAAGGATTACATCCTGTGACTAAGTGTATTTATCCCAAGTATGGCAGGTTGGTTTAATATTTGAAGATAAATTAATATAGTCTACCATATTAAAAGAATAAAGAACAAAACTTACATGATAATTTCAAACAGAAATAAATAAACAGTAAGACTAGAGATTTTACTACCTCACTCAGTAGTTGCAGGAAAAACTTCTGACATACCCAAGTGATAATTGATGATTTTAAAAAGTTATGTGCTGGGACAAACTGGATATTCGTATGAAAATAAAAATGAACTTAGACTCTCAACCTATACCTATACAAAAATTAGCTTCAAATGGATCACAGTCAAAAGTTAGAGTTAGCATATGATCGAGCAATCCTATTTACTCCTCAATATATAGCCAAGAGAATTGAAAACATATGTGCACACAAGAATTTGTACACGCATGTTCACAGCAGCATTATTCATAATTGCCAGAAAATGGAAACAACCCAAATCTCCATCAATGAGGAATGGATAAACAAAATGTTATAAATCCATATGGTAATATAGGAATATTATTTGGCCATAAAAAAGAAATGAGGTTCTCATTCATGCTACAACATGGATTAATCTTGAAAACACTATGCTGAGTGAAACAAGCCAGACACAAAGGCCTCATACTGTATGATTCCATTTGTACGGAATGTTTAGCATAGGCAAATCCATAGAGAGAGAAAACAGATTTGTGCTTGCCAGGGATTGGGGGAGGAAGGAATGGGCAGTGACTGCTTAAGCATGGGGTGGGGGGGTTCTTTTTTTGGGTGATGAAATATTCTGGAATTAGAGAGTGGTGATATTTACACAACTTTGTAATATATTAAAACCACTGAATTTTACCTTTTTAAAGGATGGAATTTATAGCCAGCAGATTGTATCTCAAAAAAGTTGTCGTATTTTTTTCACATAGATCACAGACCTAGATGTAAAAGCTCTTTACCTAGGACTGGGGCTGGAACTTAGGATTGACTGAAAATGGGCCCAAGAGAATTTGGGGGGGATGTTGGAAATGTTCTAAGACTGGATTATAGTCATGATTGTACAACTCTACAAGTTTACTAAAAATCATTGCATTGTTCACTTACAATGGGTGATTTTTTATTAAAATATAAGTGAAATACAATGTTATATTAGTTTCAGATGTACAACATATTGATTTGACAAAGCTACACATTACTCAGTACTTAGCGAAGTAAGTGTAATCACCATCCGTTATAACCATACGTTATTATAATATTATTGACTATATTCCCTATGCTGTACTTTTCTCTCCATGACTTACTTTATAACTTGAGGCTTGTACCTCTTAATCCCTTTCACCCATTTTACCTCTCCCCCAACCCCTCCCCTTTGGCAACCACCAGTTTGTTCTCTGTATTTATGAGTTTGTTTGCTCATTTGTTTTGTCTTTTCGAGTCCACATATAAGTGAAATCATATGGTATTTCTCTTTCTCAAGTCTGCCTTATTCATTTCACTTAGCATAATACCCTCTAGGTCCATCCATGTTGTAGTAAATGGAAAGATTTCATTCTTTTTTATGGCTGAGTAATATTCTATACAATAGATGATTTTGTGGAATGTAAATTTTACTTCAATAAAGCTGTTCAGAAAAACAAACCCACTGAAAAAGAAATCAAAATGTCACAGTAAATAATGGAGGGAAGTTGGGTGGGAATTTAACTTAAAAATGAAACGGAAAAGGACGACAAGAGGGGACACTGGAGTGCTAAATATTCTGTCGCTTAATCTTATTGTGAATTATAGTTTGTGAAAATTCATTGAGCTGTGTTCATGTGCAGTTTTTTTTTTCAGATTTTATTTATTTATTTGACAGAGAGACACAGCGAGAGAGAGAACAAAGCAGGGGGAGTGGGAGAGGGAGGAGCAGGCTTCCTGCTGAGCAGGGAGCCTCATGCAGGGCTCCATCCCAGGACCCTGGGATCATGACCTGAACAGAAGTTCAGACACTTAGGGACTGAGCCACCCAGGTGCCCCTTATGTGCAGTTTTCTGCGTGTATACCACAATACAAAGTTTTTAAAACGGCAGTAAGGCCTGAGAGGGGCCATGAGTGACCCAATAATGAGTTATAGAAGCTGAGAGGTTGTTCAGAAGCCATCCAGTTGTCTTGGGTCCCCATGAGATTTTCGCTCCTTTATTGCCACTATTTTACAATAACCCCCACTATGAGAGCTGGCCTAAATGAATTTCTATTTCTTCCTGAGAAGAAGCCTCACTAACAGACCCACACAGATAATACCAAAATGGCACCTCTGAGAGGGCTGAGAATTTTGTACCGGGCTGAATCCCTAGGGCCTGAAACAACACCTGGCAATACAGTAGGTTCTCAAGACGCACTACTCAGATGCATGAACAAACGGATGAATGCACAACTAGTTGGAAAGGAAAGGAAATGTAGAAGTGTGTTTACAAAAACATGCATTTTTCAATGCAACCCAGCCCATATTTCCACAGGGATGTGGACAAAATGTGATGGAAGACCAGAGTATTAAATAATGCCCAGAGGAATGTGAGGAAAGGGGCAGAGGAGGACACATGGGTGTTGGGTCTTGAAGGATGAATAGGAGTTTGCCAGATAAAGAATGGAAGGGAGTGGGACAAACAAACACAGACACAAATACATTGTTGTGAAAGAGCCTAGCATTCTTCAGAGCCTGGAGAAGGCTCCTGTGGCAGAAGTGCAGGGTTCATAGTGAAGGAGAGGTGAGAGATGAGGCTGGAGAAGTAAGCTGGGAGTAGATGGAAAAGGGTCATCTCTTCACAGCCAAGACATCTGAACTGACTCCTGCAAGAATCACCACCAAGAAAGAATTTTAAGCAGGGGTGAAATTCGCTTTTTAGGGAGCTCATTTTGGCTGGAGCAAGAATAGTTTGAATTCATTGGCTATCTTCTCTGTTGGTATTTATACCTCCTTGCCTCGATGTCTCTCTCTTTCCCTGCATTCTTCTCTTCCTTCTCTCTCTCTGCCTTCCTCCCTCTCTCTCTGTCTCTCTCCCTCTCTCTCATGTGTTGTCTTGTATAGGTCTCTCCTCTCTGTGTATTTCTTTCCATTTTTTTCTCAAGACACTACCCTTTGGGGGTGCCTGGGTGGCTCAGTGAGTTAAGCGTCTGCCTTCGGCTCAGGTCATGGTCCCAGGGTCCTGGGATGGAGTCCTGCATCCTGCTCCTTCCTCAACCGGGAGTCTGCTTTTCCCTCTCCCTCTGCCTGCCTCTCTGCCTACTTGAGCTCTCTTTCTCTGTCAAATAAATAAACAAAAATCTTAAAAAAAAAAAAAAAAGATATTCCCCTTTGAAGGGATCTCTCAACCGCCTGCATCTTATCTGCCCAAACAGCTTTCAGATTCCATCTCCAGGACTCATTTTCTCCAGGACACTAGTCCCAGCCAGCCTTGGGGTTTTCACAAATAAGTACTCGGGATTTCCTCTTGAACAGCAAGCTCTTCGGGGCCTCACCAGTGCACAGAGAAGGTGCTGGAAGAAGGGGCTGCCGTCATGGGGCCCAGAGAAGGTGAGCCACCAGGTCCCGAGGCCTCCACGGAACCAGTGAACTGGGAACAGCACGCTCTCCTCTCAGGCATCCTGGCAACGCTCACAACACTGTTGGTGCCCACAGCTTGAAGCCGCCCCCCTTCAGCCTCCTCCAGGAGAGCCTCAGGCCTGGTGGCTCATACCTCTGACCTTCAGCTCCACCACCACGTTTCCGACCTTGCACCCACCCTCCCCAGGCAGAGGACCCCCTGAGTCAGGAGAGCCCCTCATGCAAGCTGAGCTTGGGACTTCTCTCCAGGACAGTTCTCTCCCCTGGGACAAGAGGGTCAAGCTGCTCTTCCAGACATGACCTCAGAGATGTGTGGCAAGGGCCCTGGCCCAATTTATCACTACGGGGCTATAATTAGGTTTGTTAACATACAGTCCAGTGTAGTCTTGTTGACTAGGAACTTAATCACGTTACTATTGAGTTCCTGTACGCATTGCTTGGGGTGACTGTTTTACTCGTAGAGTTATAGCCAAGCCCAACGGGAGGAAATTAGCTCTGGACACAAGTTTGGTGGGGGGGTTCTTTTTCCTCATGACTTTGTCTCCCTCCCCCCCTTCCATGTGAAAATATTTAGCAAACAGTGACAATGATGAAAAACAGTAGGAAACAAAATGTTCTACATTAGTATAAAACATGAAAAATGCAGCAAGGACCCTTAGCGGTACAACATGTGTTATGCTGGCTGGCAGTCCATTAGCTCTGATAGACATTTCACTTACCTAAGTCAAATATAACAGTCTAGTATTCATTAATATAAGAAGGGGCTGTGGAATCAGAGCTACCATCTGGCTGGGCCGACAGAATAATCTACAACTCATGATTAGGTCTAAGGAGTGGGGTTTCACTTTAATCTTTCTCATTGCTCGAAATTTCCATCTGCGCAGTTCGGCACATCATTTTTCTTCAAGACAAATGTGCTGTTTTTCATGTTCCAAAATTAGATCAGAAGAAAACGATTAATCATGTCACGGCCTGGGAAAGGAAACAAAGCTCCGATATTCTGCTGCTCTCCCCTCCCCTCCCCTACCCCCCCCCAACCCCGCCCCTCCCGGCCCCGGCCGGTTGCAAGTTTCCCTTTTTTCCCCAACCTCTGGGTTTTCAGCACAACTTTCGGAGACGCAGCCGCCAGCGGAGAGGAGGAGGGTGGAACGGGAGGGGCGAGGGCGCTCCCTGGGCCTGCGAGGACAGCCTGGGGCGGGGGGTGGGGGGGGTCCTGGGACCCCAGCCCCCCGTGCACCCCTGCCCCCCCCCGTGGGTGACTCCCGACCAGGCTGCACCTTCTGCCTCCCCCACCCAGGCCCCCCACCTGCCACCCCGCCCCGACTCCGGGCGCTGGGCGCTGCCTCTCCCCCGGAGTGACAAAAGGGCTGCGAGCCTCCCTCCCGCGCGTCCCCCTCCCGCGGCCGCCACCGTCCTGTCTGTCAGCCGGCTCGCAAGTCATAACAAATCCCTGGCGCGGAGCTGAAGCTGAGCATTTGCCGGAGCGTCATGGGGATGATGAATGACCCGCAGGCCTTTGAAGTGCTCTGCCAGTTCAGCTGGGTCCGCGGTGCTGACAGAGAAATATACACAACAGCGTAACCAATAATGAGAACATTAAACATTCCTGCGCCGTGACAGGCTGACAGAAAAACCCAGGCTCCCATCAATCACGGCGCAGATAGAACCCTGACAACTGGCCCCTCACTGATACCCGCGGTCACCTTGCCCTCGCCCCTCGCGCGCTCTCGCCGGGCTCCCTCCTCGTCCTCCCTCCGGTTTTCCTGTTTCCTTCCCTCCGGACTCCCCGCACCCCTCCTCTCTGCTCCTCCCTGCCCCTCTCCCCTCCCTCTAGCCACTCTCCCCTCCGCACCTCCTCTGCCTCCTCCTCCACGCCCCCTGCCCTCCGAGACTGCCTTCGAGGGAGCCTCGAGGAGGTCAAGTGAGGTTGGGGCCCCTTGCATTTCGTGAGACTGCCCTTGCTGAAACTGTGAAGGAGTGTGAAGTCCTTAAGTTCATGGTTAACAATCTGTCGCTCTTAACCAGATGCAAAATAATAACACAGTCACTGTAGGTACAACCTCGTTTGGAAATACTATTATTACGAGTCTAAGGGGAGACCCATTTGAACCCCTTCTCCCTCCTCTGCAGGGGAAGGGTCTCTCTGGGTGTCTTCCTGCGTGACTTGGGAAAGGGACCCTTCTCTTCCCAGCCAGCCAGGGCCTCTTTCTTCTCAACTGGGTTTATCTGACTCAATCTGGTTTCTGATCTGCCTGAAAGGGGAAAACAGCAGAGAAACACAAAGATCTCTTCCTTTTCCTCCAACAGGAAATGGAATCTGCCCAGATAAAGCCTATTGGAGGGACTTTAGCCCAGTTCCCGGAGGAGCCACTGGTGACCTCATAGTCACTTTCTGGATCCCTCGGGGCTCCCAGGAGAACTGGGTTTTGGCCACACTTTCCTGGGCTGAGCCTCTACTCCCACTTTGTGACAGTGAGGCATTTCCCCATGCCCTCCCCCCAAGCCCCCCCCCCCCCCCCCCCCCCCCCCCATTATCCCAGCCAGGCCAGCAAGGGCTCATGGAAAGAGCTCTGGGCCCCGGGGAAGTGAGAAGCCAGGGTTCTAATCCCACCATGAGAACTTGAGCAAGGCCAGAATTGCCCTGGACCTCTCTTCATCCACAATAAGGAAGTCCCTACCTTAGAGTTCTTTACCTTCTCCAGATGCAAACAGTTATATTCCTCTTTTTATTCTTGAACCAAACTTACTTACTTACTCCCTCCTTCCCTCCTTTCCTTCCTCCCTCCTTTCCTCCCTTCCTTCCTTGGCTTTTGGAGACAGACATCCTTGACTTTCCAAAAAGTCATGAAAAACTCCCTGCAGCCTCCACACACATGTCCAGAGATGGGGAGTGGCAGAGGGGGGAGGGTCACTTCCTGGGCATCCTGGGGTGGAGGGTGTTATAAGGAGTCTGGTGGGAATCTGGGGGAGGAGATAGAAAGGCTCATAGAAGCTTCCTCTTTAGAGCCCATGCTTTGAGGCAAAGTTCAATCGTGACACCTCAGATGCATTTGTGTATTAGTTTAAATGAGCCAGCTCAGGTGTGAGGAAGAGAACATCTGCTCCATGCTCTGGAGTATCTTGTCCTTTCCTTTCTGCCCACCTGACAAAGCCAGCTCTATTCTCACCACCTCTAGGACAAGTTTGTTCTGCCTGCCCTGGCCCACGATGACCTTGCCTTTCTCCAGGGGCCTATGAGCCCTGGCCCAAATGAGCATCTTGCCTGCCCAGCTCTACTTGAAGCTACTTGAGGGCAAGGAGAGTGCCATACTCTGCCCTTCCCTGGGTTACCTGGGACTAGTACAATATGTTGTTGGTCCAAAATGCCTGCTCTACCCGCAGCTCCCTTCTCTAAGGAACTGCTCCTACCAGGCCTGTTCAAGGGGGAGACCTCAGAGGCCATGTCCGTACTGCATGTTCACCACAGCAGAATGGTCCAGTAGTGAACACCTATCCCTGCAACCAAGCAGATTCTCTCTTCCTTGAAAATCTGAACTCAGCCACAGGAGGTGTTAAGCTCCTAAAAGTCACTAATGTTTGGGGCTGAGGCAGCCATTTTGAGCCATGGTAGACACTGAGAAAGGAAAAAAAAAAAGCAGCAGCAGCAGCAGCTCATCTTCAAAGGAAAACAGGAGAATGAGGAAGTGGACAAAAAGAAGCAGATATGAAATATTAGATAGATCCAGAAGACAGGATAGCTTTAATTCCTGATTTGCTCATTCCTGTCCTCTAAGGCCTGTTATACTCCTTCCTGCCCCTGGATGCCTGGGAGGCAGCAGGCCACTAGAAAAGATATATGATCCAGACCCGGCCAATCCTTCTATCCTATCATTCTGCCTACAAAGATTGGCCCAGGAGAAGCATGTGACCTATGTCAGGGCAATCAGAGTCCTTCCCTGGGATTTTATATACTGATTCTGAAGGAGAGATAGTGTCCGTTTCTTTTATTCTTTTTTAAAGATTTTATTAATTTATTTAACAGAGAAAGAAATCACAAGTAAGCAGAGCAGTAGGCGGGGGTGAGGGGGGAGCAGGCTCCCTGTGGAGCAGAGAGCCTGATTCGGGGCTTGATCCCAGGACCCTGAGATCATGACCCAAGCTGAAGGCAGAGGCTTAACCCGCTGAGCCACCCAGGTGCCCCATGTCCACTTTTTTTAGATTGAGAATCACAAGGCTAGGACCCCAAAGTTCTTACAGCCTTGGCTACCACTACCTGAAGAAACAATTTATGGTAGAAGCAAATGATGCCAATCAGAGCAACGGAGTCCTCTGATGACAAGTCTGATGATTCCTCCAAGTCCCTGGATCCAGTCCAGCCTGAAGCCCACTCTCCCCTTGGCCTTCACAGCAGGTGAGCCAGTATATTCTCTTTCTTACTGAAACTAGTTTTAGTTTTGTTTTGGCCACTTGCATTTCTGGAAGTCCTCATACTGTGTTCAAGGGACATGTCAATTTATGAGGATTCACCTAAAATTAATACATGCTTCTACTCTTTTTTTATACATATGTACATGACAAAGAATCTGCTGAGGCCCAAATGAAGGAGAGCTGCAGTGAGCCTTCTCTGATCCTCTCCACCTCTGTAGTCTTCCCCGTGACCTCACCCTTCATGCCGGGCAGTAAGCCTGTCTCCAGGCCAGACCCAGGTGACGTACTTGTAAGCCTGTCAGGAACGTTATGTCCCTATCCCTGTGGTTTGTCCCCTCCCCCATAAGCAAGAAGGGGACGGGCATGGTGAGTGTTAAGGGATGGTCCTCACAGTCTCTGAATAAACCTGTTGGGCTAGAAGGAAGCCAGAGCTCAGGCTGACCCCTGGTCCACCTGAGACAGCTCACAGGTCCCACCCTTCAGGCACCCCTTGAGCTCAGACGTCCTTTGGGGCCATCCATGGACCCCTGGCTATCCATCTTCGTTCTAATCCTGGTCTGATGAGAAGACTCCTGGATGAAAGGTGGCACGGGAGAGATCAGGGGCAGCAGTAGTCGAAATGAAAAATGACTGGCGATGTTTGGCTGATTGCAAGCTTAAGGTAAGCTGATCTTGTGTGATGTGGCTACTTAAAAAAAAAAAAAGAGCCAGGAAAAGCTGGAACATAAGCAAAGGTGATAGAAAACGGGTCATAGAGGAAAAGGGGAAAGACCTCAGGATGGAAAAGTGACAACTCCATCGACAGTGAGTGGATTGGCACACTTTTATCCTCCAGGAAAGGGCTGTGAGGGGCCCAGACACAGGCCCGACACACAGCACCCAAGAGTGTTAGTTTCCTTCTTTCTTGTCCCATCCTCATTCACTGGGGGCATAATCAGAGCCAATGAGCAGACATTACAGGGACACAGCTTTTATCACAATCTAAGAACTTTCTGACAATTTCAGCCGTGCAGCAATTGGAATGGGCCACTTTGTAAGCTAATGATCTCCACATCATTATAGGCATTCAGAAAGAGACTAGATCCTTAGCTCCATGGGATTCCATAGAAAGAATCCCTAAATTGAGTATATGTTGGGCTTTAAGGGCCCTTTTTCTTTCTTTTTTTTAAAAGATTTTATTTATTATTTGACAGAGAGAGACACAGTGAGAGAGGGAACACAAGCAGGGGGAGTGGGAGAGGGAGAAGCAGGTTTCCCGCTGAGCAGGGAACCAGATGTGGGGCTCGATCCAAGGACCCTGGGATCATGATCTGAGCTGAAGGCAGACACTTAACGACTGAGCCACCCAGGCACCCCAAGGGCCCTTTATCAATTCAATGACTTTTGTAGCCTCAGTTGTCCCCTCTGTGAAGTGGGTGTGAGGCTCTGTCTGCCCCTGGACCCTCTCATTTTCCCAATTTATGGGTGCGGCAGTTGAATTTTCCAAAGGTGTGGCTGTTTGTACTTTTGGTAAGGGCCTCAACAACATCTCCTTTCCCATAAACTCTTTACAGTATCACCTTGTCTCTCCCCATGAAGAAGCAGCTAATTCCTTTCCCATTCAATCTGTGCTGGCTTGTGACTGCTTCCCTGAATAGAATGTGGCAGAAGTGACACTGTATGACTTCTACAGCTAGACTAGAAGGGGCACACAGCTTCTGTTGGCTCTCTGGGGGTGCCTGTCCTGG